GCCAGACAGTTTGTTTCTTGGAATTTTTAATGGAGCATTTTAAAGGTTCATTCCCTTAGGTTGAACCCTGTCTTCTGGTGCTTTACGCATCCACTCCGTGTGGTAGAGTATTTTCATGGATCTGCTCCGTGGGACAAAAATGGCATTATATAACATGAGCCTAGACCTCTGTGACCACGTGTGCTCCAATCCATTTATCCTTTGCTTCTCATGTGAATAATTTATTCCAGGAGGCAAGTGTGTACTTGGCATTTATTTACTATTCACTGGTAACATAAACTCTATTTAAGTAGGTGCAAATTCACACTTAGAGGAGACAATCTTTTTTTTTAAGTGTGAGGCACTTACTAAAGAAACCAAGATACTATGGCTCACTACAAGTGCGAACATTAAGGATTCAGTTTTTACTCTTTACCAAGTCTGTCTTCTGCTCTCTCTTTCAATTTTAAATAGGCTGCCTGAGACATCTTGCAGATAAATGAAACATTGCTTGACTAAATTCCATCCACCAGCACAAGCTGGGACGAGAAGCAGGAGTTGGAGACGGGATAAGGAGTTTGTCTCTGCTAGCAGGACTAGCTGAGAGAGTGAGGACCAGAAAAGTCAGCCTCAGAATGGCCAGCCAGAGAGCAAGCAAAGACCCCACTAGCCAGGAAGAGTCAGGCCCCAGGAGGATGGACGGGAAGTCAGGCAAAGAGACAGCACAACATGCCCAGGACAGTGAGCCAGCCTTGAGACCAAGAGCTCTGCACCCTGCATCCAGGATTATCATGCAGGCTGATCTCAAACTTGAAATCTGGAAGCTCTCTAGGTGGAGTGGGGTAGAGTGGGAGGACTCAGCCCGAGAGCCAGGCAGCACCTGAGGACTCACTACGCCTACAGGTACCGCGTGTTGAGCATTTCACACGGGCCAAACACTGCACTACAGACTTGTATGCGAGGGTTGGTCACAGATGTTCTCTTCCCTCTGGGTCTTAGTTAGATCCCCCTGTGCTACTGTTGAAGTGAGCCTTGACCATGAACCTTTCTTTGGCCGATACACATGAGTCACATGAACGGATGATATCTGGGTGGAAGCACTGAGAGCCAAAATCATTACATGATTTTCCGACTGCCCTTTAGCTGCTCCGGCAGTCACAGAAACAAGTATCAGGATGGAGCTTCCATCAGGCAAGGCAACCAAGATGAGGATGGTCCCCAGCCAACTGGCACAGGTGAGACATGCGAGGGGGAAAATACACTTTGGTGGTGTCCACGTCTCTGACATTTGGAGACTGTACACTCCTGCAGCACTGACATGGATTGTCTTGTGTCATCACGGCAAACCTACGACTCCTCTAAGGAGGAACGCAGCTGTGCCTCTTGGTAACTGTGAGCCCTTTGCCCACAGAATTAATAGGAAATAAAATCAGAGTCTAAACCCAGGTCCATCTCACCAGAGCACCTACTCATAACCACACTTTGACAGGAGCCAATCGAATAGGAGAGAAAATAACACATCTCCATCTTCATAAATAGTACCAGGAGACCCCTGGACAGTGCAGCTGGCATAAAGCCAGGCAACAAAGTATGGTAGGCTTTGCATCTCTCCCCCTTTAAAAGAGAAAAAAGTTCAAGAAAGAATGTAGCACCAAAGGATGCCAGCTCAACGCCATGCTATCCTCTGGGATAGTCATATCTTATTAAATAGTTACTTTCAAAGTGACCCAGTCCTAGGGAGGCTGCAAGAGCAGGGTTGGATTGGGGGGTTGGAAGTCGTCCATTGCTCCTCTTGCTTTGCTGGACCAGAATCCTTCGCTTTTACATTAGGACCTAAAGACAAGATCCTGCAGAGAACAGAACTTCCACCGTTTCCCAAGCCTAAAGCCTTCCAAAGCTCTAGACATTCTGAGGCAGAACAAGAAACAAAAGATTTTAACCACCAAGAGCATTACTTGTAACTAATAAAACAACATTCTGTGTATAGCCAGCAATTTTACTTTTTCCTGAAATTTCCAAGTAGAATTCAAAGTCCAGAATTCTTGTTCTAAAACATGGCTTCCTTGCAGCTTCTAATTCATGGTTTCAGTATGGAAAGATTCCCTATATACATTTATTTCTTAGTAAGGGCTCATCTTAAGTGTCGATCAACCAGTGATGGAAACCATATTTAAAGATTGATTCCAATCCTCAACTAATTCAGGTCATTTTTCTCTTGTCCAACCTGAGAATTGGTCTAGTTGCCTTTAAATCAGAAAAGAAGAAATAAATTGTTCCCACTTTTAGCAACGTGGGTGGAAATACATTCTTTAGTTTTCTTCTTTATATCACCTTATTGACTTTCAGATTCATCTGTCCCTCTGGTATCTGGACAGAGCCCACACACTGCCACATTTCATTTCAGGGAATTCTGTTATTATTATGACCAAATATGTGTGTCATTTGAAGTAATTACTTATTTCTTTCCTTAATACTTAGATTGGCTTTTAAAGCACCAGGAAAATAACTGAGTAGGTTGTTTTCAGGCATATGATCTCCATCATAATTATGAATGTATTTTTTCAACATAATCAAAAAGTGGCCATCCATTTGATTAGACAGACCAGAAGGGTGTTTTTAAACTACCATATATCACCTTTGAATTTCACATGACACACTCATCCTAATCCCTGCAACATTTGAATTAGAAGGTACCTCGTACGTTTGGAATGTTGTTGACAGTGAAGTCAACATTACCTTTTCATGCTTTCTGTAGCAGTGATACTAGGTTACATTTATTATAGGTTTTTGACATCTCAAATATTAATTTCTATTAGAAATTACCATCAAACTACCTGAAATATTATAGTGTATTCAACATGACCTGTACTATAAATACCTAGCTCTCGAATTAACATAAAATTTACATTTGTATACTAACATAATCTTTCACAGCATCTTAATTTTCATTCATTAAAAATGTTTGTGGATGTTTCCAAAGAGCAAGACAATAAATACCACCAAGAAATTTATTTAAAGTCCCCTTTCTAATTGAAAGAGGATGTAGAGAAAAACGTCAGAATACATATACGCATCTCTCATTAAATGTAATTGATAAAGTAAAATAAATGCTACACTGATTTAAATATCAAATGAGGAGAGAGATTTTTTAAAAAATGAATTCAGTGCTCTCTTTTGAAGCATCTGAGTGAAAAAGAAAGCACAGAGGCGCACATGCTTTTAAACAATCACATCTTCCTTTCCTTGCTGTCTGATCCTCAGAGGGGGCTAAGCATCCTATGCTCACGCAGAAAGGTGAGGCTGCTGGGGCCCACATGGTATGACTTGATACTTTCAATGAAAATCTTAAAGTGAGAAAACATTTAAGTATAATGTGTGCACCACTTATGACTCAAGATATAGTCATAGAAGGCTGCACTACTGATTTTCAGTAAGAGAATAAAAGAAATAGACCAGCTAAAAGCACAAGCTGCAAATGAACACACATCCAGAGTGAAACTAAAACGAAGATATGTTCTATCACCCTCTCAAGGCTAGACTGTTCTCGCTGATACTAAAATCAGCCACATCATTGATTATAGGCTCTTTGCATGTAATACATAAAGATGTTATTTGCCCCCTTTAAACTCATAACACCGCCAGCCCCTTCACTAATGCTGGAGAGGGCATTTTTAATGGACACTGTTGCCTTTGAAACAGCTTGCCAACCTATAAATCTTCAGAGACTTCCATGGTCTTAAGGATATGAGGCATCCTTTTGACATTAGCAAATGGCTGTCTACACGCAAAACAGTGCTTGTTACCCAACTCAAAGCTTCATATCAGAGCTCTCAATGACCTCATCAGGCCCTCAGAAAGCAGGTACGGACTTTCCTTTCAGATTGTAACGGAGAAAAGCCCCTTCTTTGCGTGTTTCCTCCTGGGAAGAAGCCTGCTGGTGCTGCAGAGCCCAGGAGGAGCGCTTTGGGGGGGGGGGCAGATGGGATTCAGGTGGGTGCAGCAGTTGGAAATGAGTGAGTTCCAGGAGTTCTTGGTCTTTTTTTTTTTTTTTTTTTTTTAATCATTGTTGGCGTCTTGACCCAAATACAAGGAAACTTCTGCTTATGAGCAGACTCAATTTGGGTTCTGCAGCTCCGCAGGAAGAAATAGCATCTTCTCCTTAGCTAGTTGTGCTGCACTCTTGAGATAATTCTCTTAGTTTAATTTTAACATTTGGTTTAAGAAGACGCTGATGGATCAAATTTGAAACTGTGGATCCACTAAACGCCTTTTTAGAAGGGTTTTTTTCTTTCAAAATAGCAAGCCTTAGGAGCTCAACTCCAGAGCCAATAACGCTTCACGTGAAGTCAGCACTACTGGGAGTGGAGGTCCCCTCTCACCGGCCCCCACCCACCAGAGCGGCGGATTTCTGGGGAGCCTCAGCATCGGCTCCTTTTTAGCCTTTCTACTTGCAACGCGCAAATATCTCCCTAGTTGGGCTCAAGTAGAAAGGATCGCCAACTGCTCATCCCAGCGGATACTCTGCAGAAAACTCGAATGGCTTGTGCGCGGGTCCACACTGGTCGCTAGTGGCGCCAACTTTACTCGTTCGTTAATCTGTGTTTCTGGGCTGAGTAAAACAAACCCCAGAGACGCGGGCAAACGCCCCCTCTAAAGCCCACTACCATGCCCCGCCGGGTTGCTCGGAGCCACACTGTGGCACCTCCACTTCTTGCTCATTCTGCACAGGCACCCCAACAACACACTGCAAATGAACCCTACAGGGAGACGCGGGTGGGCAGGTTGGGTCAGCAGGTACCAAGAGGAGCCCGAAAGGGGACCTGCCCTCCCCTCTCCGCAGCCAGGGCATTAAGGCAAGAAACTGCAGGAAGAGAAGCCCCCGGATCCGACCTAGGCCGGGGGCGCCTGCGGGATCCCCTCGCCTGGCCCCCGCGCCCCGCGCGCTAGCTCCTGCCACCACCGTGGGGAGGGTGCGTGTGGCAGGTGCCCGGCCGAGGCCCCCGGGAGCGAGTCGCCCTTACGTGCTCCAGCTTGTCTTTCCTCCGGAGCCAGACGCTGGCGCTGTAGTCCTGCTGCTTGACGCTGCTGTAGAAGTTCGCGCCCACTCGGGTCAGGCTTGGGCAGGGCTCCTTGGGGCGGCTTTTGAGCCTCATCTGCTCGAAGCCCTCATGCGGGGAGGCCGAGAGCCACTCGTGCTGCCGGATCTCCATCCTGACATGACCGGGCGGCCGCCGGCGCGCAGCGGACTCGGGACGGGCGCGCGGGGAGCCGGGCGCGGAGGGCGAGCGGGAGGCCGAGCGGGAGCCGGAGGTGGAGCCGGAGACCCAGCTGGAGGAGCGCGGGGAGCTGAGCGCCCGCCAGGAGCGCGGCCGGCGGGAGGGGGCGGTCGCGGGAGGAGCGGGGCGGAAGGAGGGAGGGCGCGGGGCGGGGAGAAGGGGCCGGAGGGGGCGGGCAGGGAGGGGAGCCGGCTCCGGGCAGACACAAGTGCCCGGTGCGGCGGCGGCGGCTGCGGTCCCGAGCGGGCGCTCTGCTCGCCGGCTCCTTGCGGGTCCGATTGGGACCCGGGCCGGCTCCGGGGCGGCGGCGGCGGCGGCGGGGGTGGGGTGCTGTGGGAGGGGCCGCCGCCGGCCCAGCCAGCCCGCGCCCGCAGGTTGGTGCAGTGAGGAGCCGCCGCCGCCCGCCACGGGGCCCAGGGCTGCGAGCCCGGCCGCCGCCCCTCCTGCCGCGCCCAGGCCCGGGCGGCCCGGCTCCCGCTGCGCACCCGCCTCCCCCGAGCCCGCTTCACCTCTCCTTGCGCAGCTTTACTGGAAAGCCAGCCGGCGAGGGGAGAAGTGAGCGCCGTCTCCGCGCCTCCTCCCTCCTGCCGGCTGAGCGCGGGGACGGCTCCCGAGGGACACACTCAGGAAACCACCTCCGCCCTTCCCCCTCCCCCGCCTCCGGCTCGCCCGGGCTGCGCCTTCCCCTATTCCGAAAGTTCACTAACTTCCCACCCCGAGGGACTTAGAGCAGAGGGTGCCCAGCGTTCACCCCAGAAAACAGCCAGGAGACTTGTGTTTTCTGGAGCCTTGCAGGCGCCTTTCATCCGAGGATGCGGCGATGCAGATGCGCCCGCGCGCGGTAGCCCGGCGGGCAGGCGGGACCGGTGGCTCCTCAGCCCTGGGCGTCCACCTAGAGCAGGGCTCCCGGGCCGCACCCAGCCTGATCCTGGGGAGGGTGATCCAGGATCCTCCGCAGCGCTCCGCCTGAGCCGTGGCTGTTCCTTAGGTGGACGTGGCCCGACTGCTGTGCGTGTCTCTCTTCTGTGTTTCTAGGCCCCTAGGGTCAAGGCTTTCCCTCCGGAGCCCAGCCAAGCGTGATGATGATTAGGAACAAGGTGACGTGTTGGTGATTACATCTTAAATCTCTTTATCTTTTGCTATGTTTGGAGTCAACCCTCTCGAAACATTTTTTGGTTTTATCTACATGCTAAACAGCTAGTGTTCGGGGTGTCTTGTGTCTGGTTAAAAGCTTGGGAAGTGGATGCAAGCTGGAGAGGTATACAGGGGATTTTAGAACGTGTTGCCAAAGGTAAACCGAAGGCTCTCTAGCCCTTGACAGAGGCGGCCTGCTTGGATGACTGTTTCAAAGACATTCTGGCTGGAATCTGACAAAGTTTTAAGGAGGACAGGGATTGTGTTTCATATCTTTTCAAAGTCTCCATTTAAAAAATTAGTAGGTAAAAACAGTAGTTGAAATAAAATCCTGTGCACAGTCAATATGGGATGAAACGACTAAACACAAATGCACACGTTCTGGTTGCGCTAGGTTGGTTTTCTTAGGAGCTGAACTATGGTGTGTAATAGATGTCCCGACCTGCGGGGTGTCGCTGTCTCACATTATCTGAAACATAAATGTTAATACCCTTCCTTTTCAGTGAGGGAACTGAGGCACAAGCAGAAATTACACTTCAAAACAAGGATATGAACCAGGTTTAAAAGGCTGTGAAGGGCAGGTGGAGTGGCTCAGGTGAGTAATCTCAGCCCCTTGGGAGGAGAAGGGGGAGGAGGCAGGAGGATCACTTGAGTTCCAGACCAGCCTGGGCCCAGACCAAAAATAAAATAAATTAGCCAGGCGGAGTGGGGCGCGTCTGTGGTTTCAGCTACCTGGGAGGTTGGGGCGGGAGGATCGCTGAGGCCTGGAAAGAGGAGGCAGCAGTGAGCTGAGGTTGCACTGCAGCTTGGGGGACAGAGCAAGACCCTGTCAAAAAAAAAAGAGTGAGAGAAAGAAAAAAAGAAAAGGAAAGAGAAAGAAAGAACAAAAGAAAGAAAAAGAAAAGAAAGAAAGAGGAAAGAAAAAGAAAGAAAGAGAGAGAGAGAGAAAGAGTGAGCAGGCTTTGAAAACTATACATTCCATTGTATAGTATCTCTGATTTTTTATTATTATAATTTTGCCCTACTATTCACTCGCTCCCAGTCTTTACTATTACAGTTTAGCCTTCACAGCTTATGCTTTCTTTAAAGTGTAACCACACAATTTAAATGACTATAAACAATTGCATAGTCTTTTATAATATTGTTATTAGAAAGATCTTATTACCCTTCTGCAAAGAATACTTCTGCATTTTGCAGAAGATTAGGTATTTGGTATATCCAAACCTTGACAAATGATAGATGTCCAATTCAGAGTAATAATGGGGTGTTCTACTGTAGAAGAATTTAAACAGATGATTTCCATATTGTGCCAGGTTCTCATTCTTAAACTGAATAGATTTTGTTTAAACTATACCTTTATAGGACTTTACATAGTGACTGCAGTAGTTGCTACGACCTCCTTTTTTCTTTCTTTCTTTTTTTTTTTTTTTTTTGAGACGGAGTCTTGCTCTGTCACCCAGGCTGGAGTGCAGTGGTGCCATCTGGGCTCACTGCCATCCCCACCTCCCAGGTTCAAGCAGTTCTCATGCCTCAGCTGCCCAAGTTGCTGGAGTTACAGGCACTCAATACCCCACCCAGCTAATTTTTTTTTTTTTTTTTTATTGCCCAAGCTGATCTCAAACTACTGACCTCAAGTGATCCATCTGCCTCAGCCTCCCAAATTGCTTGGATTACAGGCATGAGCCATGCGCCCAGCCAGTCTCCATATTTTGAAGTGAGTACACTGGTGGCATATATATTACAGCATACTACTGATTTAAGCATTATAATTAATTCATAGATCATATTTGTTACGATCAAAAATACAAGTACACATTTTTACAGTTTCATACTTAACTTACATAATATACAGTGGCAGACTAAATGAACCCAACAAGTTCAAATACACCTGGTTGCAGTCTTCTTCATAATTGTTTTTCTATCTTGAATTCTTGTCCAAGTTCATCATTTATGACAGTAATATGGAACTCACTTGTTGACTTTCAAAAGAATATGTCATATAAAACTGACCCCAATTGAAACTGTTGTAGGGAAGAAAAATGCTATTTCTGAAGATTGCCAATTATGAGAATGTTGCACCAAAAATATTATTGAAATGTATAAATATTACTGAATTGATACATTAACTTCCATAGCACATTTTCCAGTACAATTTTCATAGCCATTACATTTTCTGAGTGCAGCATAGGTGTTATGAACTATCTGTCCTACTAGCCCATTGGCTTCTTGGGAGCTGGGGCCATTCCTGATTCTTTACCATACTGTTAGTGCTTTACATATAATGAGCATCCAATAAACTATGGTGAATAAATGACTGAATGGGTGCTAACACTTGACAATATGTTTTTGCTTCTTTATTATGAAAAACAGTGGATTTGGCATTAAAATATTTAGATTTTAGTACAACATCCTTTAACTACTAAATTGTGACTTTCATGGTTTTCATTTTATTTCCATAGCCTTCAAGGTCATCCATTTGATGAACCTGAATGGGAGTAATCATTGCTACCTTACATGATTGCTACAGGGATGAACTGGCATAACACATGAGAAATTTGTGTATAGAGTCCTATGTTGCTGTTCTTAGAACTTTCAAGCATAGAAATATTCTTTATGTCATTCTAATAAGTTATTGTTTTCATTGGCAGCTATATCAATTAATCTTGATTGCTTATAATTAATTATAGAAACTTGCATCTCATTCATGTTTATATTTATTCCAAATACTTTACCTAAGTTGCCACTGGTGTGTTATACAATACCTTCAAACAATATAGAATACACAAGTAAAACACATATGAGGCATCAATATCTATTGAATTCAAACCTAAACTTAACAGCTGTCATTGACCAGGAATTGTTAATATTGTTTGAATTAGGCATTTTGTATTATCATAAAATTTAAGACTGAAAGTATCAAGAAGTAACTGGGAGTATTTTATTAAACTTTTCATAGTAATGATAATACCTTACATTTCCATAATAGTTACATCTGTAGCACGTGTCACATTTACTCCATGGAAAAATATCTGAAAGTAGCCTTGGTACTTGCTGTGGGTTCCAGTTTTTGAAAGGAGAAAACCAAAGCTCATGGAGGTTTAATGACCTGCCCAAGGCCACATAAGTCACAGAGGCTGGTCTAAAATCCAGGTGCATTGACTCAATAAAAGATTTATTTTTTCACCATGTCTGATCAAAAAATCTCAAATGTATACTTTTTAGCAATTATATGTTGTATTTTTCACAGGTGTACTATTACTGAGTATTACATTTTGTCGAAGGTTTACTACTGAAGAATGAAACATGTTAATAATTAGGCCTTCTCTAACCATATGCTTTATGTCCTCCTTGGTTACCCTTACACTATGCAAGACCATATAAAATCATTGACCCAAGAATGGCTCCATTCTTTGTTGTCAAGAAACAGATTTAGGCCGGGCTTGGTGGCTCACACCTGTAATGCAAGCACTTTGGAGGCCAAGGCGGGGCGGATCACCTGAGATTGGGAGTTCAAGACAAGCCCAACCAACATGGTAAAACCCCGTTGTTGTTTTTTTTTTTTAAAGAAATAGATTTAGCAGCTAAAAACAGCATTACTTTTCTAACCACATATGTTAAGTATAGGGTTATTTCTGTAGAAAAAATTGAGTAATTTAATACCAGTAGAACAAAATTAAAGTAGTCCCAGATTGAAAATGTTTACTGAAGGACATGTAAGCGTGAGTATGAGAAGGGTCTTTTATGTTACAGTATTTTCTTTAGCCAAGTCATTGTTATTGATTCATTATAAAATGACAATGAAGGCTTTTTAAATGTTATGTTAAATTTTTAATAAAATGAACTTATCTATGTGCAAACTTACTTTCAACTAAAAATTCCCATCGTTTGACCACCTACTCCAGTCACTGTGTGGGATGGTCATTAAAGGCATTGTATCATTTTTTTCCCACAAAATGCTGCAAAGTAAACAGAGCTGTCTCTGTGTTACAGATGAGGAAACAAAGACCCATAAAGAGTGACTTGTCCAAGGGACACAGGGACAGAGGAGTCACACTATGCCTGAAACTCAGAGTGGCTGGACTCTAAATGCCTTTTCACAACACCAAACTGCCTGGTCTTGTTTGGGTACTTTACATCTCTGCTGGGCTGAGAGCCCCCACAGTGACCTGAAGAGGACTGGAGAGAAGGAGAGGTCAGCTAGCCCCCAGGATGAGATCCTGGTAGAGCGCGTTTATAGTATGAGGCCGAGGGTCCCGTTTTATTTACACAAGGAGAACCAAATCAGATGGCACTGGGATATATATATATATATATATATATATATATATATATATTTAGATGGAGTTATGCTCTTGCTACCCAGGTTGGAGTGCAATGGCGTGATCTCGGCTCACTGCAACCTCCACCTCCTATAATTCAAGCGACTGTCCTGCCTCAGCCTCTCAACTAGCTAAGATTACAGGTGCCCACCACCACACCCGACTAGTTTTTTGTATTTTTTCAGTAGAGACGGAGTTTCACCATGTTGGCCAGGCTGGTCTCAAACTCCTGACCTCAGGCGGTCCACCCGCCTCAGCCTCCCAAAGTACTGGGATGTTTCAGTTTCAAGATGTAGGCATGAGTAAGAATGACAGTGTGGCTTATATTATTGGTCGGTTGACAATCAACCAATCGTGAGGGTTCAACCATGATGCTTTACCTAATTGAATCTTTCAGGTTGCTGTGGATTGGTCACAAGGTTTGGCCTTGCAGTGCAGCCTTGGCCAGATCCATCACGTCAACACAGAGATTAGAAAATGACTATCCTAAGAATAAATAAGTAAATAAATAGGATAGTTGAAATACTCTAGCACAGCTAAAAGCTTCTGGTCAGCAGCAAAAAAAATCT